ATTTGACATGGAATAACCCATATAAAATAAAATAATAAAAATAAAAAACCATACATTCATATTATTGGTATATGTTGGTAATAATAAATTACAATCCTCTTCGTCTTTTCCATTTAAACAATTTTTAGATCCATCGCAACGTTTATCAATTGGTATACATCTTGACAACATATTTCCGTATTCGAAATTATAACAACTGAAGTAATCTTTTGGACACTCTAAACATTTAATTAAATAATGTTAATAGTAAAAATTTAGCGAAATTTGAATACACTTAATTAAAAACTTGTCATAATAAAACATATAAATACCAGAGCAATTCATTTCATCTTCACCGTGAGGACAATCGACATATCCATCGCATAATCGATCTTTCATTATTCTATCCGTACAATTACAATATTTCTCATCGCTACCGTCAGAACAATCAACTTGACCGTCACAGAATGTAAAATTCAAAAAACATTCATTACTTGGAACGCATAAATACGTATTAGCAGGACAAGATCTTTGATGTTCTGTTTAACAAAATATTATTATGATAATTATTATCTACGAAATATTATTACGATATATCGAATATATATTTATTTTAATTAATAAACCACATTACCAATTTTATTTTTATTTACTGCACTCTTTCCTATATTCTTTAAGTCTGAAACATCTCCAATATTCTGGGGTTGAGATGATGGGGGTGGTGGAACGTACATGCAATAATATGGTAAAGTTTTACCAGATTCAGTCAAGGAACTTTTCGAATTTGGTACCGATAACCAAGGAATAATGTTATTAGGTGGATGAAGAACTTGAACATTTTGTGCTTGAATTTGTAAATAATTTGGTAGTAATCGATTTGACGATGATTTCTGATTTTGAGAAGAAAACCAAGGTTGTTGTGGAATTGGGGGATATGGGATTGGCGAATAGGATGCTGGAAAATTAGGTAAATTTATATCGGATTGGGGTGATGGTGGTAGTCCATAAAAACATGTGGGATATGGCATCCAATTATAATTTGACTTTGCATCAACTTGATTCGACGATGATAATTTAGTTTCATAATTCTTTGATACGTCGTCGTTAATTTTATCCGTTGGTTTGTTGGTAAGCGTCGTTAAAAAATCATCACTCGTTTGACCTAAATTATCTCTTTTACTTTGAACAAAAGATGATTTTATTATAGGTTCTGGTACTATATTCATCATTATGGTTAAATCGATTTCCTTTTTTCCATCCACATCCATTGATTGTAAATTATCATATTCTTCCATTACATCGTTTTTACCTTCTAATAAATTAATAACGGTTTGAAAATTCTTATATTCGTCATTTTGTAAATACGAATCGTTGTCTTCATCGCTCATCGAATTATCCTCGTCATTTTCAGTTACCACTTTTTTACATTCCAAACATTTTATTATCTCTAAAAGCTTAGAATTTCTAGTTTCTGTATCGCTTATATCGAAACCTAAATTTTGTAACAATGGTATCGAAAATTGTTCGCTCTTAGAGAGAATTTCTATAAATTTGTTTATCGATTCCAACATCGTATCGCAATTATTAGCTGTTTCTCGACAACTTTTCAACGATACGTTAGTTTCACGTTTCGAACGATTTTTAATTTGATCGTCAGGAAAAAAGGAATATAACATTTTTAACGTGTCCTCGTTAATGTCTTTAAATTCGAAATCGGAAATTTGATTTTCCTTACTGCTGTCACGAATATATTTATACGACGTGTCTATTTTACCAACCGAGTAATCATCTAAAATATCAATACACTCTTAGAAATTTTCTTTTTCAAATCTTTCTCGACGCATTTAAAATTTTATGTAAAAAAAAAATAATCTTACCTTGTTCTAATGACATAAAATAAATTATCGAAGCTAGAAGACACGTGATAAAAATCATAGATAAAAGTGCACCAACCAAATTCGTTTGGGAACGTTTTATCGCATTCAAATATTTAAATGGAACGTAAATGTATCGATTTGTGTCATCTATAGAATTTCGAAGTTAAAAATTAATTAAACGGATATTAATATTTCTTGAATAAAAAAATTCAGCTTACCTTTTGGCGAGGATATTGTGAGACTTTCGCAACAATATGACTGATCTTTTGGAACAAATTTTAATTTTGAAGATAACAATTGCCAATCGATTGGAATCGATTGTAATTTTGAAGTTGATGCTTCAGGTTTATCATTTTCATCCATTTTTATACAAAAAAAAGACCACTATAAAATAATAATGTTAAAGATCGTTCAAAATGTTTAATTATAATATTCAATTTTTCTTACTTAAACGTAAACTTTTTTAAATATATAAAATGAATTGAACAAAAAAAAAAGTAAAAACTTCAAATCGTTGCGTTGATCCTTTCGTTCGATGCTCTTAAAACGGAATAAAAAAATATTACACAAAGCAAATCTATTTGAAACTTATATAAACATGTGTCAGCGATAAAGTTTTATGTTATTTCGACATTCGATTGCGTGCTAATGACCGACCCGATTTGCACGCATTTTTCATACGATCTTTTTCTCGCAATATTTGCACAAAATAAGTGGGTGAAAATATTTTTTGATATATGTGTAAGATTAACAAATGAATAACGTTTGATAATATGAAATTTTACAACGAGTATTTAACTATTCCACAAACAATTAGTTGATAGATAAATATTTGTTCGGTGCACGTAATTTTACACGTATCATGTTTAAAATTATAATAATTTTCGATAATTTGTATTATTTATATAAATTTGTTTGTATATATCAATTCATAGTTCCGTGTTATATATAATGATAGTCATGATACTTTCGTTAATGATATGCATAGAATAATAATAAATTAAACATACAACTCAATTGAAGTTTTTAATTTCACAATAATTCATATCGAATTATGACACCTATGTTGCTCGATAAATGATTAATTGCATTTTTCATTTTTCCGATTTCCTACGGAATGTGCAGACTAATCGATTATTCATTTCTTGACATAGTTTTCGTTTGATGAAATTAACAATAATGTTAATATGACAAAAAGGAAAGAACGCAAAAAGAAAAATGATTGATTTATTTAAAGAGAAAATAATTATTTAAATATTACATTTGTATGGAAGTTATCTTTTTCTCTTTTTAATTTTATGCAAAAGTATTTATCTGACAATGAGAAAAAAGAAAGAAAATAAAATCAGTTGAAATCACATAAGTTTGAAGCAAAAAGTGAGTGAATGGTCCTTACAGATGGCGCTTGACTACATTATCGACGGAGTATGAAATATTGTTTCATATCAAACACGATATTTCATATTTACACACATATCATATATATAATTAAGAATAATTATATATTAAATAATAAATGAATTTATGATATTTGTTTTTAGTAACTTTATCAAAACTTACATAAGCATTGTGTTATATAAATATTATTTGTATATAATAATAATAACATTTCCTGCATGAGAGATTCTATAATTGATCGTCACGTATGTACCTATATTACGTTACATATTGTTTAATATTGTAGCGGAATAATCTATTGTATTATTTCCGCTATGAAGGTAATAAAATTCGTTAGTAGGATGATCGCGAACGTTTGATAACCTTCGTCGTTTGTAATGAATAACATTTGAGACTCGAAGGTTAGCCATTCTCTAAAAAGAGAATATAATTTACATTTATTATTATATTTATTATTATCAGATAAAGTATAATTTTGTCATTAAGTTTAACACTATTTTCAAACATCTTTGTCGATCATTTTGTATTATTAAAATTTGTTAAAAATAATAATGTAAAATATTTTCACTTAAAAGGTATAAAGAATTACGTGGTATTATAAAATGAATGTTGTAAAAGTATTTTTAATCTATTCAATTCTATTATAATTTTTCGTGTCTCTTATATAATAAAATATGTTTAGTTTTTTTTATAATTCCAAAAAAATAGAAATTTCCATTGGTAATTTATTATTCAATAATTGAGAAGGTCAATGTCAATGTTACCGTCATAGCTGGAAATCCGCCATTGCTAGTAATTACTCGGCATTCTCATCAATGCAAAGAGCTTTCCGACGAAGTCGGAAACAGAAGAATTCTTACAGTTTTTCCTAAGCATTGAACATAATACTTTGGTATCCTACAGAATATTAAATTACTGTTTAAAAGAATAAATTCTCAGACACAGGCATGAACCCCCCTCCCCGCCACAAACAACCCACACCTCGCTACAATAAACACACACAAAAGCGAGCATGGTGGGGGTTGTTGAGACTATGCGTACCTCTATAAACTGAAACTTACAATTAATATTGGTGTTTTATTATGCACGGCCCACTGTTACTTATCGTAGGGGAAGATTATATTATGTGTAGTCAGATATTCGTAGAGATGTCCACGAAAAATCTGTATCTTTTGTTCTGTATCGTATCGGAAGTGTGTATGTACCTGTATGTCTGTGTGTGCCTGTGCCCGAGAATGTATACTTTTCAACGTTGCTTAAATAGTAATTTAATATTCTATAGGATACCAAAGTATAATATTATGTAAGAAGTCTTATTTCCGACTTCGGCGGAAGGCCCTTTGCATTGATGAGAATGCCGAGGAATTATTAGCAATGGCGGATTTCCAGCTATGACGGTAACATCAATAGAGAAAAAAGTATCGCTTTAAAATCTCAATTTAGAATTCGATTATCGAGAATAGGCGTTCGATACGATAAATCGGCAAAACGATAAATTGTGAGAGCACGTTCCCGTCCGTTTGAATTATAGTTTATTCAAATCGTCGATGCTACGAGAGAAAATATACGTGGATGAAATTTTCTTTTTGTGTATTCTTCTCAAAGAAACAAAGAAAATTTATGTGAAAATTAAAAGAAAAAATCGATTGCAACGCATTTACGTTTGATTATACTATACGAGATTTAACAAAAAAACAAAAAAAAGAACAATTCTTTGCGTTCTTTTTTGATGTATTTTTCAAATAAAAAAATAAAATCAAATGAATAAAATGTTACAACTCAATTTAGTATAGTATAATATTCATTGAAATAACTGCTATAGTATTTATCGAAATGTTATTGAAGTTTGAATAAATATAATAAAAATTTCATTGATCGATAATAAAAAAATGGGGTTTGTTTCGAATATGCAAAAGTTAATAATATCGTTTTGTTTTCGTTTTTATAAAATTTGATCGATCGATTTATAAATACAAACGAATTAACAGAATACAATTAGATTCTAACATTACACTGTTATTTCAAAAAAGTAAATCGAATCATCGAATGATATACGTGTAAAATATGAAATATACGCTTGGGTCAAATAAATATAGAGGAAAATCACTATGTCGAATAAAATAAAAAGAGAAAGAAACACAGGGACAATCGAGTAGACCGATAGTGACGAATGTTGGTTACGCAATGTTGATTCTTTTACTTTCTCTCGAATGAGTATGATCGAAGAATAAATTACTAGCATGAACATTAGTCTGAGTTCAATAGTGTACCTAACACGTCACGTTATAGAATGAATCAATAGATTTTCTATATCATTTTTTCTGCAATCCGTTTTATATTTTTACTAGATTTAAATATATATATATTGCAAATAATTCGTGATAAGATATAACTTATATTTATTTAGGTCATCTTTATGAAATTTGTGAAAGTATACCTATAAATCAATTTTATTTCTCTTCAAATTATGTATGCTATCAAATTATTCGTATTGGAAAAAGGTTATAAAAATTAACCTTTGACGTAATTCGTAATACTTCGTTGTAATGCAATTCAATTTCCGTAAGTGAATTTTTCCTAGAAAACGGTGAAAGTTAAGCTCGCAATGATTTGTTATAGATGAAAAGTGTTTAAACATGTGATATAGTGATTAATAATAATTCATGTGATTTTTAATTCAATATGATTTGACATTGAATTAAATTAGACGTGGAAATATGTTCGCAGATCGATGTGCATAATAAAAAATAATAGATATTATAGCAGTTAACGTTTCCGAAATTAAAATTAATGCATCGTGAAATGATTTACAATAATTTATATGATTTTTTACAAATATTTAATAAAAGTAACTGATTTTTTAAAATACGTAGAACTATATTTATCATTGATGAATAATATCGAATGAGGATGAATTCGATTATCGAATTTTCTAATTACCACAATATTTTCGTAAAATTAAACAATTTATGATGTAATAAAAAGTATAAAAGTTATCTGAATAATTTTGATAAATTCAAATTTCATTTGTATTTCTAGTCGTGTTTCCCTTCTAGTGAAATTAATGGACAGGAAGAAGATTGAAGGAAAACATGTAATGGACCTTGGCATTGGTTAAAACAAGATAATCGTGTAACCTTCCTTCCAACATCCGTGTTTACGAAATCATTGACATTTCAAACGAATTATTCTCAAAGTCAAATCATACGAATAAAACCATGTTAATGATTCCTATTAATATTCGATATATTCAACAATTTTTTGGTAAGTACGAACGCGTATTGATATAAAAATATTTTATTTTCGTTTCAATATATATATATATATATATATATACCACATTGTTGTAAATCCGGAGACAAAAAATACTTGTGTTTCTTCGTTTTAAAGCTTATCTAATCTTGAGATAGAGTTTCTCTATTGATTCAGGGATGATTAATAACATTTTCTTTGGAAACTATGAAAATAAAAAAATAAAATAAACGCGAAAAATATCTATTTCTATCCCTTGAAAATAGATTTTCTCTAAATAATATTACTAGAATGTTTTTTTTTTTTATACTTGGAATTAAAATTTCAATTTCGGACTTTAACTATACTTGTAAAAATTATTTCGAATAAAACGTAGGATTTTCTTTTTAAACGATCTAATTAAAATTATAAAATTTTACATCGTCGTATACGTGGTATACGTGGTAATCGGAGTTTCCTTTTGATCTATCGTCTTTAAACGTTCTCAGAAGTATCACTTATGAATGAGTTTGACAATTAGGAGCAATAAAATGTTTTTAACTCTTAACGTGATAGTTTCGATAACGTTATGTATGAGAATTAATTCATTATCTTTTTATTATTCTTCAATGTTTCGTTATTATCTGTTAACGATAAAAAAATTCGATAATTATTGTTAATTAGTAGATGATAATAAACTCGTGTGTATATATTTTTTATTCTAATAGTACGTACCTCCGTTAGTTTAATTCACACGCAAATGTTTATAGTAAAGAGGAAATAATTGCATTTGTTAGACCATTAGGATGTGCTAGAGTAATTCTATTGAAATAGGTGTACACTATATAGATTAAATGTTGCGTTAATGTGTGCTTTATGTTTGTAGATATTACATGCATAGCTTATACGAATGCATCGATGAAAATTAATTATTCAATTATGTATTGAATTTTTGTTTCTTTTCATTGTCGAACAGTTCTATTTTACGCCTGGTTTATTTTTAATTTAACATATTTGATTTAATAGTAAATAAGAGACTGTTAATTACAGTTATAAATATATAATGTGCATTGTGGTTATATTAATATTAATAAAAGGAAAAGATACAGAATGAAACATGAATGTATGTCAAGCTAATGTGCACAAATATAACAGTGTATTATTCTGACTCATTTCAAACAGAATAAGCTTTGTGTAGAAGCATTAATCATACTGCAAAATAGCTTTGAATCAACCTAAACAAGCATTCCACAGTTGATCAGTGGCTCTAATCTCTTGAAATTACTCTCTCTCTAATAGTATAATACATCATAAATTTGTAGAAGATGTTTAAGATTCTGACGTATATATGTGAGAATTCTTTGTTTTTTTTACTTTAGAATTTATTTCCACAAATCACGAAATTGAAATTGTTATTAAAAATTCGTAATAAAATATTTTGTTCTATTCGCGTAATTTACTGAAGTGAGAGAAAAAAATGTCATAACCCTCTTAAAATTCTTCTACCACTTGTTCAAAATTTCTTCAATTAATTTAATTTCTTAATAAAACACATTCAATTAATATACACACATATACATATATATAAGAGAAAAATTTCCCAGACGTGAGTTCATAGATTCGAAATACCGCCTTTAAAAATTCTTCGACCACTTGACCTAGTGGCCAATTACACCGGAGATGTAAGAGGAATTATCATCTCAACCAATCACGTGCTCGGACGAATACAGACCACCTGTCGCTTGACTCACGTGGTTTAGATAGTTGTCCTTGTTTCGCTCGTTTCGATGAATGGGGCAGAATAACATGGTCAGAAAGAGAGAGAGAGAGAGAGTGAATGAATGAAAGAAAAAGAAGAGAAGAGAAGTAGAGGAAAACCAAGATAAAGAAAGAGAAAGAAATATTTTATGAACAAAGCGTGTAACTGGAGCTAGTCCTGGGTTTAGAAAGAGATAAACAAAAAAGGAAAAAAAAGGAAAAAAAATGGGAAAATAATACCGAGGAGGTCACTAACTGATGTGAGAAGGATAAGATGAGAGGGGCTAGGGAGGGGAGAGAATAACCATAGAGTCGTTTCCGTTTCCCCTTCTCGATACACATCGCAGTATGTGAACCGAGGAACATTTGACGCTCACGTAGTGTCATGAGCAGTTGTTAAAGAAGACTATCACGATCCTATTGCGTTCTCTGATGCTTTAATTCATAGTTCGTTCATATATAATTCAGTAACTAAAAACGTAATTACATTTATCCTTGATTATTATTTGTTATTCGATCAGATTTTTCGAGAAACGGATATCGACGATATGATACGCTGATTGGACGAGAGGATTATTGATTTCGAATTGGCCAATGAGAAAAGGATGGTAAGTTTTTCTTTACTTCTTATGAGATAATCGAAAAGTTTCTTTTTTTTTTTTTTAAGTATTTTTGTTAATAAATAATATAATCGGTTATTGGGAAAATTGTTGTTTCTTTGTAACGCGTGTTTGTAAGAAGATCCGTTTGATTATTATTGATTTATATTTCATATTATACGCGGAATTTAAGATAAAAATGGTATAAGCAACTAGTTTCGCGCGCATTTTAATCGAAAGCGTAAGGTTTCTTTTTATTGGTCAATTAACCGGTGAAATTATCTCTGGAGTATTATGTGTATATGTATATAAACTGAAATTTGGCGAGTGAAAGATCACTCTGTTTGATTTGGACCTTCCTTGGGTAAGTAATCTTTATTATCACAAATGGGAAAACAGTGATATTATATTGCTATTTCAAATGATATTAGTTTTTGATTTATCAGTAATTTAAACGAAAATTGTATGCTTTTTTTATATTATCAAGAGAATTATTTTCTATATTTTTCGGGGAGGGGAATTTCGTTTGAATCTGTTTTATTTATATCAATTTTTTTCTGAATAAAAGGAGTTTATAAATTATTAATAATCATATTGAATAAATTCATAGTAATCATTTTAAATTTCTAATTTGAAAATAGCGAGAAAACAAAGTTGAAAAAGATGTTCATATCGTCTTGACTATATATTTTGCGCTCACTTTATTATCGTACAATTAGTATTTCTATTATAACATTTGTTAATTAATATTAACGATCCTAATATCACTTTATATCAAATTTATAGATGAATGTTAATATTTTTACTAAAATATGATTATAGATTACGTTTATCTTACTATTACGTAAACACACTATTATCTTAAATAAAAATTTTATTGATAATAATTAAAAGCATGAAAAAATTATAAAACATATGTATCTTTATATAGAATAATATAAATGTAAAATCTTCGTATTACTCATCTTTTCAGTGTGTGCGTGTGATTCATTCAGCAATTCATATGTTACATTGCGAATAGTAATTTATAAAAAGAATTAAAGGAAGAAAGAAAAAAGAAAGAAAAAAAATGAGTTCAAAAATAAATTATTTAAAATGAAAAAATTTTAATTATAATATTAATTATAATTAAATAATATAAAATTAATTAGTTAATATAATTAACTCTTAAATATCATATTATCATTTCAAATAAAAATATGTTTTACTAATTATTAATATTAATTATATTATTTACAATGTAATATATACGCGCGCGCGCGTGCATACAAATACCCACGTTTAATATAAGATAAATGTTTAAAGAGAAAGGGTGAAAATATTTGTAAAGATTTATGTAATTACTTGCAGTAAAAGAGTGAAAGTTAAAAATTCTTTAGCACGCATACAAACTTCAGTTAAAAGATCCGATGGCTGAACTTTAAGAAATCATTCGTGAATTTTTTTGTAATATCTTATTTATGCCTTCACGTACGCTTGTCTATCTATAAATCTTATCTATTACAAATCTTATCTGACATTTTCGATTATAAGATTAAAATAGATGAAAATTGAAATAATTATTAATTGATAAGAGTAAGTTGATCGAAGAACATAAACAGGAAATTTCAACTATTGATAAACCTAATCATAAATTATTTAATTACAGTTTGAAAAGGTTAGAAGTACAGTAAGCTGAATGGATACGAAGAGATTACGATTAAATGATTTATCCGCACTATGGATCGTCTTTATTTTATTGATGATATCTCCGAGCTGTCATGCATCTTACAGCATCGGAGTTGGCATTGCAGATTCAACCGGTCCACCTGCAGAAATCGTATTCGTAAGTACGCGCATGATTTTTAATCGTAAGAATAAACGTTACGTCATTTTTCCGTTTTTATTTGTATTCTTTTTTTTATCTAATTTATAATTTTTATATAATTGTGAGTCGTTTATTTTGAAAGTTGCCTAAATCCATATAAACTTAAATTGAGATATTTAAGGGTTTGTGTTTGAATGCAATGAAAAATATACGCACAGAATACCAATGAGTTATGCTGCTTAAGTGTATTTAAAGGTGTTAAATTTACAGTTCCTATTAAAATAATGGCAATTATTAAGTAAATAATATGCGTTTTCTTACCAAGAATGGAGTTAGACCACTTTCAAAATTAACAACAAGATTCGTTATAAAATTTGAAGGAACCGGAGGCCATTAAACATAATTTAAGATGCTTCAAATTGAAAAAAAACAATACTCATTTTATTTTACATATCTTTATAATACGTTTTAAAACATAAATTATGCGATTCAAAACATTTTTTACAAACATAAATTACAAAACAATTTTCTACTCATCTACATTTTGTGTATGTGTATATATCGTAATAAATCAATTATTTTCTTGAATTTTGCTGTTTTAATTTGTCTGATATTTTTATTCAGTGGTGTCAATAGAATATTTTCGAACTTTCTTGGTCTACTCCGACGTGGTAATAAATTCAGGACTTTAAAATTTTCATTCTCATTTATTGATGTCTTATAGAAAATTTTATACGGTTCATTTTTGACAAAACGCATCCAACATATTTTTAATCAGTTTATTGATTCTCCGTTAGAATTATTTACCCTTTTAAAAATTACGTCTTCTAATAATTTTGTTAATACAAAATCTTCTTGTCCCATTTCATGTAGAATGAAGTTATTACCTTTCCGACATATTTTGATAATGTTGTAATAATCTCGTGGAACAAACAGTAAATTATTTTTTTTAATTGCCATTTCTACCATACCAAAATCTCTATCATTTGGTAAAAACGAATGTCCTGATATTAAAAATTTGTGGTCTATAATTTCTACATTATTATCAATAGTTTGGATAATTTTTAACCACATTAAAGCTAGTTTAATGTTTCTATTTTGCCCAGTACACATGTCACTGTGTACGCTATAATGTGTCTTTCACTTGTTACATTTTGGACATATTTTAGGATGCATAAAGCTATTTCTTGAGTACCTCTTGATACAATAGTTTCATCCCAAACGTACATGTGAACATTATCATTATGAAAATTGTGGATACCCAAATTTAAAACATATATATTGCGTTTATAATATGCTACTGAAGTAGCAGTAATTTAAGTGTAAATAGACTTAGGCCACTTTCAAAATAAACGGCTCAATTATTCAACTAACTCTGAAAACTTATGTGACCAGAATTACCGTATTTACTCGGAATATAAGTACTCTTAAATGCTTTATTGATAGATAATTTGAACTTGTACATGTAACCTTGCGTAACCCGAAATAATTGGCAAATAGAGTTAGGCCACTTTCAAAATAAATGGCTCATAATCTCGTATTTCAAGTGTATATAAGTTTTCCTTATGTTATTGTTCAATTTTTCATCGTTAATATTTTATAATTTATTTTTTACTATTAAATGAAATATACCAGTAAATTATTTGATGACAGTGTATTAAATTAAGTTAGTGTATATATGAATTATTTATATAATAGTATAAATATTTTTCATAAATATTTTTTTTATTTATTTATTTAGGTCACTATCATAATTATCTGTACAAATATGCACTTTTACAATTGTTTCCTTTGTTTTCTTTAGATGGGATATGCAAAGATGGATCAAAAAGGATCAGGTATTCATCTTCGAACCTTTTCACGTGCGTTCATCATCGACGACGGCGAGGAGAGGTTTGTTTTCGTCAGTGTCGATAGTTCTATGATTGGAATTGAGGTTCGAAAAGAGGTACGTACTCAGATTGTATAATTTTTTTTAGTGACGTTTATTGTCAAAAATTATAAATAGACACCCATGTAACGTGGTAAACATGTTTCATACGTATTACAAATTTGCATTTGATACAAATACAAATTAAAAATAGAATATTTACATAGGCGGTAAAACTAAAAGTAAATTGCGAAAAAGTAAAAAAATTATTGACGACAAAGATAACAATGTTGATCTTCGATTAATGCAAATTTTTATTTTTATTATATAACGCGTTTTGTGTGTGTGTGTGTGTGTATGAAAATAATAATCGTAATATTTTAATACTATGTGTTACAGGAATTTTTATTTTAAGATTTTAAGAATATCTGAACGCACTGTCATGTGTGCATATCTAATTATATTTAATTATTATAAAACTATCTTATTTTATGTTTTTTCTTTTTATTTTAGGTACTAAATAAATTGAAATCGCAATATGATAACTTGTATACGGAGAAAAACGTGATGATCAGCGGTACGCATACGCATTCTAGTCCAGGTGGTTTCATGATGGACGTACTTTTTGACCTTACCACGTATGGATTCTCCAAGGAATGTTTCAATGCCATTGTAAATGGTATAACAAATGTATGTAGATGTCGCTTATCCTTGACAAAAAGAAATATCTTCCATTTAAAATCAAACACTGATGTTAGATCAATGATCTATCACGACTTTGGTATTTTATTTTGTCATGAATATTAATTAAGTTTGTAAATTAATTCTATGTCGCAACGATATGTAGTTAATTTTCCAATATTTTTTTAATTCATTTGTATAAATATGCAAATATAAACTATACAAATCTCAATAACATATAGAAATATATTAATATTATTATTTTTGTTTTATAATATCGTTAGAGTATCCGACGTGCTCACGATTCAGTTGTACCTGGAAGGATTTTTATTACCCAAGGAGAAATTTTCGATGCAAATATAAACAGAAGTCCGATCGCATACCTTAATAATCCAAAAGAAGAAAGAGATAAGTAAGTGATTACTTTTGTTGTATACGATTTTTATCTTTTTTATTCGAAAAAAAAAAACACATTTTATTTGAATGAAAAAAAACTAGTTTGACATTTAAGAATAATATTTACATAAATTCGTACTATATTTACATTTCATTTAAATATATATCTTATGATTATAAATATAAATGAACATTCTTCGAACAGAGAAATATTTATAACCAATTATTTTGTTTATTCAACTAACATGTGACGTCATGAATATCTTACATATTTACGTCTCAATATTTTGTAGATACGATCATGATGTTGATAAAACGATAACGCAACTACAATTCGTTGGTGTTGATAACAGACCGTTGGGTGTTATCAATTGGTTTGCTGTTCATCCGACTAGTATGAATAATACTAATCATTTAATATCAAGCGATAATGTGGGCTATGCATCTATACTTTTTGAAAAAATGATGAATAAAGATGCTATGATCGGCAAGGTAAGAAACTAAGACCTTTATCGAATTTTACAATTCAAAATTCTTGAGAGATCTTTATAAAACTATACGTTGATTCATATATATATATATATATATAAAGTTTATTATATTGTAATAAAATTTTATTATACACGATTTATTTTTTATTATATTATATAAATATATAT